TTTCTCGCGAACCACCAGTTGGCAACCATTGGTCTAGTCGACCCGGTCGGGCCAACAAATGCAAACCTTTAATCATTATATTATCGTGTATACGTGTGTTATAAATATTTGGTATCTAATTATTGATCATGGGTTTCTTTATATTATTAATAGTACTGTGACATCCAGATGTTTATCGATTTCACCGAAATCATAGTATTTTTGGAAATTATTTGTAAGGTGCTGACGATTACATCGAACTTTTTTACATGTTTATTACGCCAGATACCGGAAAATCATAAAATATAGAAAATTAGCAAAATTGTGGTACTGAAATCTAAAATTACATATGATCTTGTAACGGTCAAAAATAGATGAGGATTCGTGATTGGTTTTCCTCATTAAATATGTAACCATTCTAAGTAAATGCGCGATTCATCACCTATAACGCCGATGGACGAAAACATCTTGGAATTCCCTCCGATCATTCAGTAATTGCACATCTCTCTTTACAGTTGTGCGTGGTGTGTTAGTGGGTGGTCGTATAATAATTGTATGATAACGAGTATTGGCCAATTATTATAATGATTATTATAATTACTATTATTATTTCAATGAGCCAGTTTTCGTATAATTTGGTAGATTATACTGGCTCACTTTTTGTGCAACTGTTCCATCGTTCACAACAGAATTGGGCTTTATTCGAATAAAATTTTATTTAGATGATTATTTAGATAACATTTTATTCGAATAAATTATTATTCAAATGATTTTTTCACAATTATTCGAATAAATTATTATTCGACTAATTTACAAATACAATTATTCGAATAAATTATTATTCAACAAATTTTCAAATACAATTATTCAAATAAATTATTATTCGACTAATTTTTCAAACATAATAATTCGAATAAATTATTATTCGACTAATTTTCAAACACAATTATCCGAATAAAAAATTATTTGAATAATTTTTGGAAAAATTTAAAAATATTGTATAATAAAAAACAAGTATTGATTTATACAAGAAAGTAAAGAAATATATATATATAATAATATTTGAGTATGAATAATATTTTATAATCATATTTCGTAAAAATATTACAACAATCATAAATAGTAGTAAATAATAATAACAAAAATGTCAATAAATTATTTTAGGAAAAATGAAAATAAATAAATATAAAAAATGACCCTTTTATTTCAACATAGTGTGGCTCACATGTTACGCAAGTAGCAATTACTTTATTTTTGTCCATTTTGGATTTTATTTAAAAAAAATTACCATCTAAAATAGACATACAGTTAAAGTCCGTCATTTCAGACACTTCAATATTATCCTCAGTTGACTGTTGTGTTGAAATTGTTGAATCTTCGCTACGTACATTAACAGAATTCATATTGAAATAAATTGATATTTTAAATTAAATTAAACACCCTGTCACGCATTCATACGCTCGCGGACTCGCGCACAGAAGAACTAACGCGGCAAATACGACACAAGCAATCATAAGACAATCTATATTTGATGTACATTTGATAAAACCACGTCTTCGATGTTTAGATATCATAAATTTAAACAGATAATTTTTATAGCTACATGCCCATATCTATCTAGTATCTTTATATTTTTGTGTAGAGCTCTATATATTTGAACTTATAAATATGAAATACAAAATTGAACATACGTAGTTAATAGATAGTACTGTGGTGACGTAAACAACGCACCGCGAATCGTCCAAGTTGTTTACAATATTGTCAGTGGATAAGGGGAAATCCTATGTTCTAGAATATGCGATGATTATCTCGTTAAGGTAATTTCGAGAATTTTCTAGACAATCGACGCCGATATATATATATACCGGCTGGTCAGACGCTCCAGTCAGTCCGTGAGTACAATCCGCGACACACCGTGAATTACACTCCGCGATATATTCGGCAATTCCTCCGCAATTGTAACGCTTATCGATATTTGTACATACATATTTATATAATATAATGTCTATTTTAATTAAATTAAATTGTGAGTGATTTTTATTACTTAAATCCCACAAATTGGTGACCTCGACGTGATGGCAGAGACAGACGCAACGATTGCTCGAGTGGCCGTTAAAATACCGGATTTCATTTCGTCAGATCCCGAACTTTGGTTTGCTATGGTCGAAGGTAGTTTCGCCAGCGCGGGAGTCACAGCTGACAGCACAAAATTCGGGTATGTGGTTGGAGCATTACCGCCGAAATATGCAGTTGAAGTCAAAGACATAATTATGACGCCACCCTCGGACAGTAAGTTTGTCAAAATTAAAGATGAATTAATAAAACGTCTTAGTGCCTCCCAAGAGGAAAAACACGTCAATTTCTGGAGCGCGTTGAGATTGGTGACCGTAAACCATCATAATTTTTATGCCACCTCCAAAACCTGGCTGACTCTTCCGTTCCGGAAACATTATTAAAGACACTTTGGATGGGCCGCCTATCAAAAAGTATACAAGTGGCGTTAGCAATAGTTAAAGATAGTAAGCTTGAAGAACTCGCTGTCCATGCAGACAACATCGCGGATGCATTTGGTCCTTGGCTACCTCAAATAGCAGAGACATCGAGAAGTGACACTCTTCAAGCCATGTTGAATCTTAAAATTTTTCAGCTTACCTTGAGTATAAATCAGGAAATTGCGACGTTGAGAAGTGAAGTGGCAGCGATCAATACTCGTCCCTCGTGTAATCCGGACTCAAGACCAAGTACTTACCGCTCAAGATCTTGATCTCGGAGCCGTACTCTCAATGGTGCAAATGGTTTATGTTGGTATCATTGGCGTTATGGATCACAATCGCGAAAATTCATGGAACCTTGTACCTATAATTCGGGAAACGTGACGGGTCATCACTGATGACGGCCAGTGAGACCAGTTCGTCCCCGCGCCGTCTATTCATTACTGATCGAACTTCTCAAACTCAATTTCTCATCGACACGGGTGCCGACTTATGTGTTTATCCACGTAGTGCTGTTCCAGACCGACGAGTAAAATCCGATTAGGTCCTATTAGCAGCTAATGGCACTCCTATTAACACCTACGGTTCTATCACGCTTAGCCTCAACTTCGGACTTCGTCGAGATTTCACTTGGAGATTTGTGATCGCGGAAGTATCAAAACCCATCATTGGTGTGGACTTCTTGAGTCATTACAATCAATTGGTAGACGTGCGTAATCAATGTCTTTTAGACGGTGTTACACGACTCACCGCTCATGGTCACGCTGCTGAATCCTCCATACCATCCATAAAGATTGTCGTGGGAGAAACGAAATACGACTGTTTACTACGGAAATTTCCCGAGATCACTCGACCATATGGAGCGCCTAAAGACATTAGGCACAGCACCAAACACTATATTAAAACGACACCAGGACCCCCAGTATCTTATAAACCACGACTCTTAGCACCTGATAAGCTCAAGGCAGCAAAAAAGGAGTTTGAAGCTATGATCCAATTAGGCATTATTCAACCGTCCCAGGGACCTTGGGCATCACCATTACACTTGGTATCAAAGAACACAACGGACGCCTGGCGTCCTTGTGGGGATTACCGTGCTCTAAATGCTTGGATTATTTCAGATCGGTACCCGGTTCGTCATATTCAGGACTTTGCACACTTTCTCCACGGTAAAACAATTTTTTCAACAATCGACCTAGTCCGAGCATATAATCAAATTCCTGTAGCTGAAGAAGATATTCCTAAAACCGCAATCGTGACACCATTTGGACTTTACGAATTCCTCTTTATGTCTTTTGGGCTTCGAAATGCAGCACAATCGTTTCAACGATTTATTGACGAAGTAATTTTTGGACTTGATTTCTGTTACAGCTACATTGACGACATATTGATGGCATCTGTTTCTGAGGAAGAGCACATCAAACATTTACCGATCATTTTTGAGCGTCTACGCGAATACTCTCTGTTAATCCAAAAAAATGCGTTTTTGGACAGTCAGAAGTAAAGTTTTTAGACTACATGATTTCTAGAGAAGAAACACGTCCTCTACCCGACAGAGTCACTGACATTTTGAGCTACAAGAGGCCATCGTCTACTAAGGGTCTACGACAATTCTTGGGTATGATAAACTTCTATCGTCGTTTTATACCTGGAGCTTCAGACGCACAACTAAGTGATCTTTTGGTACCCAATTTAAAAGGTAAGTCACCTTTTAACTGGACACCAGAGGCTATTTCGGCTTTTGAAAAATGCAAGTAGAAACTCGCCACAGCCACGCTTCTTGCACATCCATGCGACAACGCTCGACTGGCTATTGTAAGTGATGCTTCAAACACTGCAGTTGGCGCAACTCTCCAACAGTTCATCAATAATGAGTGGCAATCTCTTGCCTTCTTTCCAAGAAGCTCACAGCGACCGAGACGAAATACGGAGCCTACGATCAAGAACTTCTCGCGATCTACCTTGCTGTCAAGCATTTTCAGTATATAGTGGAAGGACGCGATTTGGTTATATTCACCGATCACAAACCCATCACTTTTGCATTTCAGCAGAAATCGGATAAATGCACACCACGACAATTCAGACACCTAGACTTTATCTCACAATTCACCATGAATATTAGGTATGTTCCAAGTAAGCAGAATTTTGTGGCTGATACCTTATCTCGCGTTGACGCCTTGTCAGAGACAATAGACTACACTGCATTAACGATATCATAACAGGGAGACGATGAATTAAAAAAATACGAAAAAGAAAACACTGGACTACAACTCAAGCAAGTTCAATTACCAGGTACAATAACCAGGTAAGGTTCTTGACTTACACTGGGACACTGAGTCTGACAATTTAGCCTACCACACAAACGTTCAGCAATCTCACACTAAACGTCAAGTGCTTTCAGCTATCGCCCGTCTGTTTGACCCAATTGATGCACTAGGCCCTATGTTGCTGTGAACAAAAGAATTTATGCAACTATTGTGGTGTAATAAACACAGTTGGAACGACCCACTACCCATCAAACTGTTATCTATGTGGCAACAATTTTGCATGAAATTACCGGTCATTTTTTCCATTGATATACCTTGTCATATTGATGTTACTGATTATCAAGACATTCAGCTATTGGATTTTGCGGACGCGTCCGTTAAAGAGTATGCCGCCACCGTATACTTACGCATTATCGACAATACCGGAGCTGTATCGGTTCGATTTGTCACTTGTAAGACCAAAGTCGCTCCTCTGAAAGGGTCTGTTGATGTCCAGTCCATTTCAATACCGCGCCTCGAACTATGCGATGCTTTGTTATTAGCACAAACCCTTAAACACATACACCAAGTCTTATCATCAAGTCTATCTATATCACGGATTCGAGCTTGGTCTGATTCTTCATTTGTTCTTTCTTGGTTGACTGCAGATCAGAAATATTTTAAAATATTCATATCAAACTGGGTGGCGAAAATACATGAAATGTTGCCGACTTACGATTGGAGCTACGTTCCAACCACTGATAATCCGGCAGATCTAGCGTCACGTGGTCTTATGCCAAAAAATATGATTTCTTCAACTATTTATTGGAAGGGACCCCACTTTTTACACTTGCCAGACGATCGATGGCCTAGGTCCAATTTCGTTCCACTAAATCCAGACCAACTACCGGAAAACAGACCCAAAACGGCCGTGGTTCTATCTGTCACCACTTTGCTTCCCGCTCTAGAAATGATACAGCGCTTTTCGTCGTTTACCAAGATGCAACGCGTATTATCGTACATTTTTCGTTACCACAACCGTACACTACACAAAGTGGTTTGCAACGGCTCATTAACATTCGCCGAACGAGAGAAATCCTTATCAGTCGTTGTAAAATGCACTCAAAAACATTACTTCGCAGATTTGATCAAGGCTTTGAAAGCCCAATCCAATGTTACTCCGTTTTCATTAGCGCGATTGGCGCCCTACATTGACAAAGACAACGTTATCCATGTGGGAGGTCGACTCCGTTTCGCCTCGATGTTATATGACGCAAAACATCCAATATTGCTACCGCGAAGTTCACACCTTACTGACTAGCTAATCCGACACTACCATGTATCGTTTCTTCATGCTGACCAAAGTTAATATTGTCGATGTTGAACCAAAAATGTTGGATACTGTCTGGCCGTTCCGCAGTCCGCCGGGTTATTCACTCTTATGTGCCTTGTACCCGCTTTGAGGCTGTCCACCCTCGACCAATTATGGCTGATCTGCCTTTTTTCGAGTTCAATCGAATAGATCGTTTTCCCACATTGGGATGGATTACGACGGTCCATTTAGCGTTAAAGAACACCGACGTCGCAATGACCATACCACTAAAGTGTATTTGGCGTTATTTGTGTATATGTCCGTGAAAGCGGTACATCTCGAAACTGTATCAAATTTAACCACAGATGCATTTCTTGCGGCATTCGATCGCTTCGTTGCTCGGCGAGGCATTCCGTGCAACGTTTATTCAGATTGCAGTACGAACAATGTCGGCGCTGCTCGTCAACTTCGCACTCTTTTCCGTGACGCTAAAGAACAGCAAAGAATCTCGTATCATTTATCTTGCACTTGGCACTTCAACCCACCTGCAGCACCGTACTTTGGCGGAATCTGGGAAGCTGGGATAAAAATGCCAAATTCCATTTCAGGCACGTCATCGGCAAACAGATACTGACATATGAGGAATTCCATACGTTAAATACTCGCATCGAGGGAACCCTTAATTCTCGCCTGATCACGCCTTTTTCTTCAGACCCACACGATTTATGCGCTTTGACTCCCGGTCATTTTTTAATCGGGCAACCCATTCAAGCCGTTCCCGAACCTGATCTTGTAGAAATTCAGGTCAACAGATTTACGCGATGGCAACTCATTCGCCAATGTCATGAATCATATTGGAAAAAATGGTCTCGCGAATATTTGTCCACGCCAAAAATGGGTTAATCGGTCACCTAATTTGGAAGTCAACAACCTGGTCATTGTAGAAGCTCCCTCCCGACCACCAACGGAGTGGAATTTAGGGCGCATAACCGAGGTCCATCCAGGGTCCGACAATATCGTTTGTGTCGTTTCCATGCGCACCCGGGATGGCGTCTTCAAGCGCCCAGTCGTCAAACTTGTACGTTCGCCGATCGAGTCCTAATCTCGTTTTTTACATTCTAAACTTTTCAACCGTTATCAACCTCTGCCCATTTCATTCGCTGCCTATGAGTGTGAGGTTATCCAAGTTCATTTTGTTTAATATTTAATTGTTTTAATTATGATAGTTATCGTGTATTAGTGTAATGTGTACGTCCTGAATGCTCATTGTTAAGACTCCAATCTTCACAGTAGTATTGAAAGACGCCTATATCTTTCAATGCGGGGAGTAAATGTATGGTACAGATTCCATATTTGAATTTCGCGTTACATATTTACACACTGGAGCGCCACGCTCACCCCGGGATTGCTATTTTCTCCACGGCTACGCCATAGTCGCTCGTGTCGTTCACGATCCGGTTCCGCTTTTTATTTTGTTATTGTGTTGTGTGCATCGTGTTTGAACCGTCAGCGTTTTCCGTCCGCCACGTTTGGTTTTTTTCATTTTTTACCTCTTGGTGCCTGATGACCGTCCGCGTCTCTTGCCCATCAATTCCTATCAAAACCCGGTAATCACATGTAAGGCTTGTCATGGCATTGTGCGCTTTTTTTGTTGTTTCATTTTATCTCACGCAAGTCGAACACACCGGATTTTCCTCTTATCGCGATACCGTCGCGATTCTTTTTGCAACAACATTTTCTGATTGTCGGATCGTTCACGTCAAAACCGTGTTTATCCGAGCAACCTGACGTGTGTCGTGTCTTGGGTGTACCGGCAATCAAGTTTGTCCGAATTCGACGATTGGCTGGTGTCATATGACAATCCAACACGTTGGTATACTTGCAGCGTCATTACCGACCACCATTTTATCAACATCGGTTACGATTGTCTTCCAGGACAGAATTTCAACCGCAAACCTGCGTCTAGTATCAACCCGTGAACAAACATCTTTATCAGGTCGTACACATGTATTATCATTATATTAATGTTGCTATCTTATTTTTTGTTTATATTTATAATATTGCGGTTGATCAATCTGTGATACCAGCTTAGTATTAAATACTAACCATAATTATAAGCTATAATGTTGTGTCATTATAATAAATATGTCTCGTTGACTCTTAGTCAAAATATTTTATTTGGTTATTGATCTCAGTATCCTCACTCTCCCTACAAATATACGCACAGTAAATTATCGGTTTGTGTGCAACTGCATTTCACACAGTGACCATTTCAGTTGATACAGTATTAAATTTTGTATTATTATTTTATCAATAATACATATACTGGATTTTCTTTTTATAAATTACATGAAATTTTTTACTTTTTTGACCCCCCAAAGTACATAATAATATATGCATCTATATTCATAGCTATATCTATTAGTTATTACTAGGGCTAGGATTTATATGCATTTGTATATTTTTTTTGCAACTTCTGATTACTTATTTTGTAAGTAATATCCACGAATAAGCTCTAGCTGGGGTAAATGGTGGTATTTTTATTTGTCATATTTTTGCATATTTTGGACAAAATACATATTTTTGCATATTTTGAACAAAATTAATATTTTTATACATTTCGACTATAAAAACACAAAAAGTGCATATTTTATAGTATATTTCATTACAATTCATTTTATCGCAGTACAAAAATACCCAAATGTAATTTTATCTTAAAATTTCGAGAATTATTTCCAGAATTACCTTTACCTCCACAGCCAATACTTACCCGATGGGGAACTTGGCTAGAAGCCACATCATATTATGCTGATAATTTTAATTCCATAAAATCGGTGCTTTTGTCTTTAGACGAAAATACTGCAAAATTCATAAAGAATGCTATAGTTTTATTTGAAAATAGAACTATACAAAATGATTTAGCTTATATAAAAAGCAACTTTGGCTTTATCACTCAATCTATTTTTAAATTGGAAAATGCATCACTTTTACTCGATGAGAATTTGGAAATCGTTGAAAACACCAAATCTAAACTTGACCAAAACAAAGGACCGATCGCTGAAAAAATCGACAAAAAATATAAAAAAGTGTTAGAAAAAAATATTGGGCTAAAAGCTTTGTCTACGATACGTAATATTTTAAATGGCAACAATGTAGATAAAGATTTTCCAAATCTATCTCCTGGGGAAGTTACAAAATTTAGATATGCAAAAATAACGTCGTGTGATGTCGAACAGAATTTTAGCAAGTATAAAAACATACTAAGGTCAAACAGAAGATCGTTCATTTTTGAAAATTTAAAACATCATGTAATTGTTTCATGTAATTCATTCGAGTAGCTTTATCAATTTTATATCAATATTTTAGAGATTTTAATGTTTTAGAATTTTTTACATGTTTTTATAATTAAGTGTTTAACATATTTATTTTTATTAATTGGTATTTAAAAAAAAAGTATAGAATATGTGGTTTTAAATGTAATTCACTCGAGTAGCTTTATCAATTTTACATCAATATTTTAGAGATTTTAAGGTTTTAGAATTTTTTAAATGTTTTTATATTTAAATGTTTAATATATTTATTTTTATTAATTGGTATTTACAAAAAATTTATAGAAAAAGTATTTTTATCTCACTGAATTAAAAAATTAATTTACTTGCCCAGCCTAGCTAAATACTTAAACTTATCAATATAATATTATAGTTAAATAAAATAAAACATACACTTTTATTTTAAAATCAAATGAGGGAACATTTTATTTTTATTTTAAGTCAAATATGGTCATGATAATACCGTATTTGTGCGCGCGAAATTCTCGCAGGTGTATATTACGAGAGCTTATCGCCACGGCAGAATCCGGTCGATTGCCACACGTATAGATGGAAAATTAAAGGATGAAGGAGGAGGGATATAATAAAATGATCAGCTATTGGTTTATCAAATACAAAGTCTTATTAGATTAAATTAAATAAACATTGAATAAGAACATTGAATAAGCTTATTAACTAAAAGGCAAAAGGGGGGAGAAGCAACGTATAATGCATAAAATAAATATAAAAATAAATGTCCCCAATGGGCGCACAGGACAAATATATTTGGTTTCATAAAATAATTAAAAGGTTGACCTGTCTCCAAACGGCGCCACGATGACTGGTATCCGAAATTATCCACGTCCACACTAAAACTAAGTTTCACCAAGTATAGTTCACTTACTAACACGACGAAGGCGTATGTATCACTTGTACGGCGACGAAGGCGCACGTATTGCGTATACGACGACGAAGGCGTCGTATTATAATCCAAAAAGACGACGAAGGCGCATTTAAACTAACGGCGACGAAGGCGCACGTATTGAGTATACGACGACGGAGGCGTCGTATTATAAACCAAAAAAGGTGACGAAGGCGCACTTCACTAACGGCGACGAAGGCGCACGTATTACTTGTTCAAAAACGAAGGTGAAAGAAAAAATGGCGACGAAAGCGCACGTACATCCGGAATACAACCACAAAACACACAGACCCACGAAAAAGTGAATAAAATAAAACGCAGTTTAGATCGTGTTTTTACACTCCTGTGTTGGCGGCGAAGAAGGAGAAAACATATATGATCACTATACGCGTTGCCAACTCGTCCACGCCAGGACACGAGGTAGTGTTACCAACTACGCCTTATGGTTGATATATAACAGGACCGAACATTCTCCCAGCGTTGAAAGACGTAGACTTTCAAAAAAAAAATTAGGACAACTCATCTTGACAAAAAAATCACCTGAATGCTTAAAACTAAGTTAACATAAAGTGCAAAAAAAAAAAAAAAAAAAAACTTAGGAATAAATGATTGATCAAGGGATGGATGAGTCGGATACTGGTAGTTTCACTAATTTGACGACTGGACGTCTAAGTACACCATCTCGAGTTTGAATGGTTACCGCACGTACAATTGAATCTTCACCGGGGTGGACTGCAATGATACGACCTAATTGCCAGTCCGTAGGTGGGCGATTCGGC